ATAAAAATAAATATTATTCAATTTTTAAATATTTAATTTTTAAAAATTAATATTATATAATATTTAATAATTTTTAAAAATATTTTTAAATATTCAATAATTAAGAGACAAGAGAGATAAAGATATTAAGTGAGATAAAAAAGAAAAAAATATGAACAATTTCAAATTCTTATTTTTTAGTAGAATTTAAAATTTTACTATTTTAACAAATTTCACAAATGTTTAGATTTCAAATTATTTATAAATTATCCATCCAAACAAAATATTTCATCCTAAAATATTCCATCCTAAAATATTCAAAATTCTTTAAAAAAAAATAGTTACTCTATTTAAATTCTTAATTTAAACACACAAAAATATCATAATATCCTGAATTTGTATTTATTACTGTACATATTTATTTTTGTACGTTATATAGAAAAAGATAATTAATTTCTTTTGATGTTCCACCAGAATTTATTTCTTGTATTTATTTGCTGACTCCTTCTAGTAAGTTTTAATAGAGACTGCTAATTTGGGACTGTGGCTGTTATTTTTTCTTCTCAAATAAATAAATAGTTGTATTTTATTACTTTATCACTATCATTTTAAATCTATATTTATTATTTTATCATTTGAATTATTTCTCTAACAGTCTTACTCTATTCTCTATACATAATAAGTTGTTCATTGATGATAAAAAAAATTGTTCCACTTACGAGAATGCTGGCCCATTAAATTTAAGGGCTTTCTTAATCTTACACTCCATTTTACTGTTCTCACACCTTTTTTTCTTCGGAAAAATTATTTTTGACGAGAACATGTTTTCATTGTGTTGTAAATGAAAATTAGGGGTGTGAATCCATAATATATAATCTAAACAATTTTTTTTTTTGTTGTGTATTGTGAATTCACAACCTCTATTTTCATTTATAGTTTGTGTTATATTCATAAATGTGTTTCTGTCAAAAATATTTTTATATACATATAGAAAAAATGTTGACGTAGTAAAGATGAGTGCAAAAATAATATGGGCTAAAACCCAACATTTGAGTGTACACCAAGTCCAGCTCATGTTTGCTGCAAGAATAATATTTTAAGAAAAATAATATTTGTTAAAACTTAAAACAAATAAAATTGATTTAAATTTGAAGATAATAACATACTTGTAATAATAATGATAATAATAATTTATACAATTAAATTTAAAATTAAAATAATAGTAATTATTATAATTTAGAATAAACACCAAAGTCTATAGGTGAGAGAGTGTGTTACAAAAAAAAAAACAAAGCAAAATAATATTTAGACTTTTTTTTTATAAAATATATTGTCTTTTTTAATTATTTAAATAACTTGAGCTCTTCTTCATTTACCCAAATGATCCATTTCCAGGTCTAGGTGAAAACTCGGTTATTAGGTAACAGATTTCTCAAAGAAATTTTTAAAAAAAGTTTCAAAACCGATTTCTCAGGACCTTTTTTTTCAGATTTTTTTTGTTTTTCATTTTTTGATTTTTAAATTTTTTTAAAAAATTATAATTAATTTTAAAAAAATTAATTTAGTTTAGTTTTTAGAATATAAAAAGTATATTTAATATTTAAATTAAATAATTTTTAAAGAATAAAATTTAATAATAAAATTAATATTAAATATAATTTTAAATAAATGACAATATTATTATATTAAATATTAGAAATGGTAAAAAAAAAGTATAAATTTTATTGGAAAAATAAAAATTACAGAACATGAAATTTTTGAAAAACACACAATTGATTATCAATTTAAGCTTGTTGACTTGAACTCCCTTGACGGACATTTTTTCTTGGAGTGACCTACATTCTTGCATAGAGAACATCTTTTTATACGCACTTATATGGATATGGTTAAACCAGGACAACCAAAAAGATGTTCTTTATGCAAAAATGTCAGTCACTCCAAGAAAAAATGTTCTTACCGTTAAGGGAGTTCAAGTCAACAAGCTTAAATTGATAATCAATTATTGTGTTTTTAAAAATTTCATATTTTGAAAATTTTATTTTCCAATAAAACTTGTACATTTTTTTACCATTTCTAATATTTAATATAATAATATTGTCATTTATTTAAAATTATATTTAATATTAATTTTATTATTAAATTTTATTCTTTAAAAATTATTTAATTTAAATATTAAATATACTTTTTATATTCTAAAAACTAAACTAAATTAATTTTTTTAAAATATGAAAATCAAAAAATTAAAAACAAAAAAAAATTAAAAAATCTGAAAAAAGAAACAAATAATGAAAAAAAAACAAAAAAAAACAAAAAAAGAACCATTGTAACCTATTTCTCAAAAGGATTTTGAAATTTTTCTTAAAAATCCCTTTGAAAAATCAAACCCAGTAACCAAATTTTCACCTGAGCCTGAAAATGAGTCATTTAGGTAAATAAAAATTGTCTCAGATTATTTAAATAATTAAAAAAAAAGCAATATATTTAAAAAAAATTCTAATATTCATATATGTAGAAAGAAAAGTGTAAATTACACATAAGAACGTCCTGAAAATTTATAGTAACTGAAAGATGTACACAAAAAGGAGAATGAGTGTTAACAAAGGGATGCACACTCTAGAAATCGTGGGTAGATGTGTAAACAAAGTTATTTATATCCAAATTGACATTTAATACAGCATCAGAAAGTCACGTGATGTAGCCGTCCTAAAAATTTGGGTGTACATACAAGATTCCTTTTTCCTTTCGGCTTTCTCAGTGGCAGTCAAATGCATTTTCAAATTTTTCATTCACTTTCAAAATCCCAACTTTTTGTTATTTAACAATCATGTTCATATCTGTCATCCACTTCACACTCTATCATCCTCTTTCAACTATTTGCCTAAACTGCTTCTGAAAAGTAGAATATGCCCAGTGTGTGTCTTTGGATGAGTTTGTACAACTCATTCCATGTAAATTTGAGTTACTACTTTCTAGTAATGTTTAAATATCACACATTAAAAAATTGGAGCATGAAAAATACATGTTTGGCTTATCATAAACTTAAGTTGGAGCATGTCAAACTTGGATCTAAAGACACCCAGTGAAAGCAAATCCCATTATGCCACTCCATGACTCCAATATTTAATAAAATTGATCTCAGGGGAGTTTCAAATTAAAAAAGAAAGGTGTCAAGTTTTGAATCCCAAAAGAACTTGCAAAGGTCTTTGTAATGATGGAATTTCATTTTTCTAGAATTGTTTACTTTCATTGTTTTACTTTAGTGGTAGTGAGTCTTATCTTCTGGATGGTCCTGGATATCATAAGTAAAACATATGCTACAAATTACACAAAATAGCTTCCACTCATGTCTCACTGGCACGTCCAACAATACTATCTTAAGATAAGAGCGGGTCATTTGAAAAAAATAAAAATAAAACAAAAGGTCTTCTTTTTTGTCTTTTCTGCCTCTCCAAAAGTGATGTCTCATAATTAGTCACAGTTCACCATGCGAGAATCCAACAATAATAGATCACAAAAATAGCACTCAATAATTAATAATATTTCTATTTTCATTCAAGCACCGAATAGAAATACTAAAAAAACGAGTATGGGATCCAATACTCAAATCAAAGGACCACCTGAATAACTCCGCAGCTTCAAAACAATCACCCAACAAATTCAAAGCTTCAACTGCCTCCTTTAAGGACCATCCATATAATTAAAAATTTTAAAAAAATCACAACATTCAAATTCAATCATTCAGGACAAGGTTCTCCAACGTGCATTAAATGAAATAAGTCTTGATTTAGAAGAAAAAAAATAATCTCAGTTCAGACTTTTTCACATCCAGTTGAGAAAAATGCAGATACACAAAGAACTGAACTGAACTATGAGAGAATCCAAATAACAAAACTTAGATACCATAGCAACCAAGGACAAGACAATGTTGATATTATTCTCTAATTAAAATAAACATTTTACCTCGATAATTATTACATTAATGATTATCGAGATAAAATGTGAATTTAAATTCGAAAATAACATCATCACTAGCTACATTTTAAGCATCTAAGTTTTTTTGTACATTTTAATATGAACAATGAACAATACTACTTCCGGGGCTAAGACTAGTAAATAGTAATTAAATTAAGCATCACTATGGTCATGTGAGTTTTGCCTTGAATGTTGCTGTTGTTCTTCTTTGATCTCTTGAGGAGCTTCCACGGGAGGAGGGTCCTCGCCGGAGCTGGGTTCCGGTGGTGGCGGCGGCGGAGGAGGGAAGATTCTGCCGTCTACACAAGAGGAGCATTTGGTTTGGACCCATGTTTCAACGTCGAACTCGCCGTGACCCATGACCCGACGCCCCGAACAGAGCCTTCCAATCATGCCAGCGATGACACCGAGAACGGTGATGACGGCAAGAACTGCTATGACGGGTCCCACCGACCCGTGACCCGAATGGGTGGTGTAAGCTTGCTGGGTCACAAATGGTGTGGACATCTGAGACAAGGGCTTTCAATGAGAACAATAGAACAACTTTAACTAAAAAAAAAAAAAAAAAAATTCTAAATTGAGTCCTTAGAGAAAATTCATGTCTTTGAGAGAGGAAAGTGGAGCTAGCTATGGGATGACCAAAATGCTTGTTGAGTTGAACTTGGCATGTTTTTGGATTCCCTTTTACTACTTTTTGGCCAAGGTCATAGAAAAAGTGTAAGCTTGTATTTGGAATGATGTTTTGGGTTGTGGTGTAGTGTAGTGTGGTGTTGATGATAAATGATAATGCGTGGAGGAGGAATTTTTTGGGTGGGGTAGCAGCAAGAAAATCAGAGAGGTGGGCTTTTTCTAGGTACTGCAAGGGAGTGACTTGGAGAGAAAGTTTTTGGCAGTGGAATCATTTGACAAATCCATCACTCTTTTACTGACAAGGTAAGTCTTGTAAGCAACTGTTAAAAAGAGTTTTTATAATGAATAATGATTTTATTTCTGTTAGGAATCACAATTATCAGTATTTAACTTCCCATCAACTAGGGTCGACTTCATGCAAGTTAAAATAGCATGATTAAGTTTAAATTCTAGTCTCATAATTATAATTTTGTATAAAATAAAAATTAATGTATTTGTTTTGGTCTGTGTTTGAAAATAATAGTCTTATATGGACTGCTTTAATCCACATTTACATACTAATTAAGTACCTTTGTCCTTTAGTCCATATTTACATATTAATTGGATATATATAAAAAATAAAGTTCTTTTAGTAAGTTAAAAATTTTAAATACATGTAAAATGATGATTAGTTAAAACCATGGATCATTGGTAGTTAACAATCTTAAACTACTTAATTTATTTTTTTCATCAATTATGAAATTATTAATCAATTTATTTAATTACACTATACTCATGAGAGATAAATATAATATGCTATATTTTCTTTTTATATTAAAAAATATAATATTTAGGTCATTTAACTTAACACTAAATTACACCGTCTTTTTTACAAGTATGACATTATTTTTTACATATTAAAATATAAAGTAAATTACACTTTTATTTTTTTACAAATTTAAATATTATATCATTACTCTCCTATTATATTAAAATACATAAATTAAAGTATTTAACTTAGTATCCTAATAAATTACTCATATAAAATTTTAAAATATAGTTTTGATTAAAATATATATTAAAACATTTTTAGTTCATTATTATTTATTCACATGATAAAAAAAATTATAAAATATATAAGTAAATTTAAAATAATTTTATTAAAATAATAAATATTATCTCTATGTTTGATTTTATTATAGTTACACATGTGTGCACGCGCACAAACACTCACATACACATATGTATATTATTTTTATTTGAATAATTTTAAAAATATTTTAATAATTAAAATATTTATTTTAAATATATAATTAATTTTAAAAATTATAATAATTTATAAAATAATAATTAAATATGTAAATAAAGATATTTTTTTTATAATAAAAGATAAATCGTTAAATTGTAATACTTATATTATTTGTTAAAACAAGAAAATGTTTATTTTAACATAAGAAGGAAGGACAATATTGTATATACATATTTGGAAATGTTAGTGTAAATGATATTTTGGTAAAAAATTTTAAAAATAGGTAAAATGATATATATTGGAATTTGTTAAGGGAGAGGAAAATAATTTTTAACATTAGCACAATGTAGTATTTGTATTTTTAGGAGAAGGGGATGTAATTTACTAAAACAAATGTATAAAAAATAGGTATTGTTAGAATAACACTTTAAATTTTTAATTATAAATTTGTAAGATATTATTTTGATATAAAAATATTATATTTTATTTAGGATGTTGTTTAGTATTGAAAATATTATCTTTATTTTGAGAATTTATTTTCTCTTATAATATTCGGATAAAAGGTCAATAAATAAAAGTTCTTTAGGTGACACTTCATTCAATTTCTCATTGTCAAACCCTCTACCGGTAGGAATCCTTTATGAGTAAGTAGTTCATTCTAAGATGTCTAATCGTTTTTAGGTTCAATAATTGTTCCTATAAATCAATTCATGACTTTTCAAAGTACTTTGTCCTTCCTTACACATTTTTTTAAGAAAATTGTAGAAAGTCAGTCATTCCTAAATTGGTTTGAGTCAAACACATTTAATAAAGTTCTTATGTGATTATAGGAGTGTTCATCGGATCGAATTAATACGACGAATCCGATAATCCAAACCAAACCAATTAAACTTGATGTTGATTGGCTTAATACATATTTAAAATTTGAAACAACTCAAACCAAACCAATTAATTTATATATTATTTTTTGTATTTAGTTAATAATTAATATGCATTTGTCATTTTGATTACTTTGAAGAGGTTTTTGTCTTACAATATCTAGATTTTTTTTAAAAATTTTTTTTCTCAAATACTTAAAGGATCTAAGAGAAACTATATTATAATATATTGAGTGTCATTTTCAAGTATTGTAGTGTATTTGAAATCCTTAAGTAGATTAAGAAAAAAAAATACAAACAGAACTATATAGCAAATCTATCAATTTAGTTAATTTTTGACAATTTAACAATTTAGTTAATGCTGAAAAATCTATTTATTATGAGAAAAAAGTATTTAATTTTTTTTAAAATATTCATCGAATATCTAATGATGTGAATTGAACCAACTCAATTAACATCAAATTGGTTTAGTTTGAGTTAAACAAAAAAATGAAATTCGAACTAATTAAATTTAATTAGTTTAAATTTAATTTTCACTCAAACCTAAACCAACCTAACCCGTGAATATCTCATGCAATGAATTACTGAAAAGTAGATCCATCTTATTGGTATAAGTATTAGTATTAGTTAATTTATTTTAAGTCACCCTTAACTATATAGTTCTACGCATGTACAACCTCATCTTGTGTGTACCACTTCTCGGTTGGTTTGTCTTGGAACCACAACATACTGAAAGAAAGGTCCTACTTTATTACCAATTTTAAGTCCAATGGTCCATCAAATTTGACATCTCAAGTTCTCAACAACTACACCCCACAATATTCCATTTGATGACATGTGACTTTCCTCAACTCTTTGTTGGTTATAACCTTCCAAAAGGTCGCATATCCTTAATTTGTCCAAAGTCAAGTACCTTTAAGTACACAATTCTTAAATGATGCGTTATTGAAAAGTAAATATATTTTGTTGGTATAGGTATTAGTACTAATTAATTTATTTAAGTTATATTTAATCATAGAGTCTCACACTTGTTTAACATCTAGATCTCTCTCATCCTAGTTTACCTAAGATGTTACAAGTCCACCAACTTCTACTTGGTTCATTTTCAAACTACACTATATTCAAAGAAATGATATGCTTTAATACCATTTATAATGCCTCTCAAATTTGATGTCTCAACGATTACATTTCACAACACTTCACTTATTAATACCTCACTCAACTCTTCGTAGATCAAAATCTTTCATTGCTTAACTCATTATCGATAACTCCTTTTTGAGATGTCCAACACTTTTAGGATTAATCCCCACAAACTAACACAAGGTGTTATAGTGTGTTTTATCATTACTTACATATTTTTTGAGAAATTTATCCGAAAGACCACCAATCCTTAAATTAGTTTAAGTCAAATACATGTAATTATAAAATTTTTAAGTGATAAATGATCAAAATATATATATATATATATATATATATATATATATATATAATACTAATCAATTCATTTTAGTGCCTATTTTAATCTAGACATTTTTTTACAAAACTCACGTCCAAAATGTTAAAATGATGGAGAAACAAGTTTTGTTAGCTTCAAGTTGATCCATGTTGTGTTATAAGTGACATAGAAACTAACAACCTCTTGAGCCATCCAAAATTTTATAATTCTCTATTTGTATAACCTTTAAATTCGTCCCACTTATTATACCTAATATGTTAGATATTACGAGGTTATTTGTAATTTTTATAAGAAATATTTTGTTCAAGGCATATATGATCATTGGAATTTGATTTTTTTTCTTCTCTATAAATTTATAATATATGTACTTAGAATTTAAATTGAAACAAATTAATGTTACTTAGTACATATACTCTGTAGTAATATTAGGTACAAATTATATCACGCCCTCTTCATAAAGTCATATTTTTGTTTTTTAGATAAAGAAGAAACACTACAACAAAATTTATTTTTAATGACAATTATTTAATGGCAATAATTTAATTGCCACCATATGTAAAAATATTAATGGCTAATATATAATAGTCACTAAAAATATATCTATATTACACTAAAGTTTACTATTGGCGACAATTATTTAGAAAAAACTTAAGTCCCACATTGATTAGAGATAAGATAATTAAATAGTATATAAGTGAGTAATAATTATCACCTTACAGGTTCATTTTATAGGGTTGACTCCTAATTCACTATTCTAAATTGGTATCAAATCACTCATTGTTACCAACTTCAATAGTGCTATAAAACAATTAGAGACCAACTTTGACCTTATAAATCTCACATCGCTTAAAATACAACATAATTAAAAAATAAATTAAAAAATATATAAATAAAAGACAACTCTCATCTTACAAATCTCATATCGAGTAGAGATAAAAAAGTATATAAGTTATGAATTTAGAAAATGAAATTATAGGAATAAATTATTTAAAGTAAAGGAGACAATTGAAAAAAATAACTTTTAATAGCCTTTAAAATGGCTACTAGAATTGCCACTAAAAAAATAGTAGATCTTTACCGGCACACCAGCCATTAATTAAATGCTGGTAAAAAAATTATGGCCATTTATATGGCCGCTAAATAATAAGTTAATTGCCACAAAAAAACTAGTTTTGGTGTAGTGAAAGTACACTTCATACTATTTTTATATTTAAAAAAAATATGAAATGATATAATAAAAAATAAAATTAAATAAAAGAAATGTCTTTAATATCATTAAAAAAATATAGATATAATAAATATTATGATATAATAA